TCAACGTACCCCACAACTGAAGGATTATTCTGCTGTCTGCCAAAAATAATTACATGTCCTACAGTACCTTTCACATACCTGAAAATTCATTTGACTGATTTCTAATGTCGTCTTCCTGGTTTATACATGTATTTACAGACTTGACTAACAGCATGAGCTAAATCTGAACGAGTATGCACCATTGCATACATCAAGCAACCAACTGCACTGACATATGAAAACTTTATCATGTCTTCGATTTTTGTATCTGTCTTAGGACACTGTTTTGAAGAAAGCTTAAAATGATTTGCCAATGAAGTGCTCACAGGCTTTGCTTTGCTCATCTCAAACATTTCCAACACATTCTCAACATAGCCTCGTTGAGATAAATATAATCTTCTTGAGTCTCTATCTCGATGAATCTCCATTCCAAGAATCTTCTTCATAGGACCCAAGTCTTTCATGTCAAATTCCCTGCTTAATAAAGTTTTCAAATCACGTACATCATTCATATTATTTGCAGTAATTAGTATATCGTCAACATACAGTAAAAAAAAAATAATAGAACTATCATCAAGGCTCTTCACTTAAACACAACAATCATAATCACATCTCTTGTAGCAAATCTAAATCATGTAGGAGTCGAATTGTTTGTACCATTGTCTTGAAAACTATTTCAACTCATACAGTGTTTTCTTTAACCTGCAAACCAGATGCTCTTGTTCAGGTTGAGTGAACCCTTCTGGCTGTTCCATGTAAAACTGCTCTTTCAGATCATCATGTAAGAAAGCATTTTTAACATCTATCTGTCCAAATGCAAATCTCAAATGGCTACTAATGCAAACACTGTCTTGATTGAAGTATGTATGACTACATGAGAAAAGATTTTATCATAATCTATCATTCTGCTGTGAAAATCTCTTTATTATTAGTCGAGCCTTGAACTTTTTCCTCTTCTTTTTCTGATACTGCTGGTTTTCTTATGTACACCCACTTGCACCCAATAGTCTTCTTTCTTATAGGAAGCTGAACTAGCTCTCATCTGTAATTTTTCTGCAAAGACTCAATCTCCTCAACCATTGCACTCATTTATTTCTCTTTCTCCTGGTTAGTGATAGCTCCTTGAAAAATGGTTGGATCATCGGTGATGATGAGAAGTACACAATAGACCAAGTCTTCATAAACCAATCTGTTAGAGGGTTTTATATTGGTGCGTCTCTGTCTGTCTCTGGCTAGATTATAATTCTGCAGATCATTTGGAATGAAATCACCAGGTGTTGGATTTGAACTTTCAACTCTCTCAGTTATTTTTGGATGCTGTTCTAAATTCATCTGCACTGCATCTGAACTGGAACTGTTCCCTGACACATTGTCTTGATTTTGTTGTTACATGGACTGTTCATAAAAAACTGCATCTCTGCTAATCACCATCTTCTTTGCAACCAGATCCCAAAACTTGTATCATTTCACACTTTTTTTGTAGCCCAAAAAGATGCATTTCTTGGATTTTGCATCAAGTTTTGATTTTTCATTTCCAGGTACATGCACATAAGCTGGATAACCAAAACTCCGTAAATGGTCGAAATTAACTGGATTACTTGTCCATACCTCTTCTGTGACCTTGCCACCCAACGATGCCCGAGGTAATCTATTGATGAGATAACATGTCATATTCACAACCTATGCCTAGAAACTCTTAGAAAGCCCTGCATTCAGTCTCAAACATTTTGTCATGTCAGTTAAGGAATTGTTCATTCTGTCTGCCACACCATACTGTTGTGGTGTCTTGCGCACTGAAAAATGTCTCTGAATCACATGCTCCTCACAGAACTTCTGAAACTGCGAATCTGTGTATTCTGTGTCATTATTCGATCTCAAATACTTGATCTTTCTGTCAGTTTGGTTCTCTACCTCAACTTTCCATAACTTGAATTTAGAGAAGACTTCAGATTTCTGCTTCAAGAAATACACTCAAACTTTCCTGAAAAAATATCAATAAAGGTAACAAAATACTGAGATCCTCTCAATGACAATTCCCTAATAGGACCCCATACATCAGCATGCACATAATCAAGAATCTCTTCAGTTTTTTGTTTTTCAGTCATAAAACTGACTCTAGTCTGTTTTCCAAGAACACAGAACTTACAAAAATCGAACTTGCAGCTTTTAACACTATGCAACAAGTTTCTTCTATGCAATTCTTTCATCCCATGTTCACTGAGATGACCCAAACGCATATGTCATAGTTTTGTATTATCATTATCTGACTCCACAAAATGAACTTTACCTACAACTATGCTCCCCAACAGTTTGTAGATATTGCCTGCAGTTAACTTTCCTTTCATCACCGTCAATGCACCCTTAACAATTCTGATGGTTTCCATATTCTCATTAGCCTTAGGAATAAAATCATTTCTATGTAAAGTGCCCATGAAAATCAAATTCTTCTTCAGATCTGTAATATGTCTGACATCACATAATGTTCTAACGGTGTCATCATACATCTTAATTCTGACTTCTCCAATACCAACAATATTGCAGCATCTATCATCACCTAGATAAACTGTGCCAGAATTAGTTGACCTATATGAAGTAAATCACTTCTTGTTAGGTGTTATGGTGATAAAATCATCCTGAATAAAAAACCAATGCATCCTCGAACTGAGTTGATTAAACTGAAAGCATATCATCATCACTGCAATCTTAATTGTCACTTTGCACCACGTATACAGACTTCGATGATTCATCACCTTTCTCCCCAGTCTGCTTCTTGAGCTTTGGACAGTCTCTCTTCATATGACCTGACTCCTTACACTTATAGCAATGAATTGTCTTTTTGTCTTTGGACTTGGATTTGGAATTTCGCCCTTTAGAACCCTCTTCTTTCTTCCTTCCACGATCTTGATTACCCTTCACATATAAACTGTCGTCATGAGAGTTTTCTCCTGCATTCTGCTTTCGCTGGTTGTGAGCCAACAATGCTGCAGTAATCTCATCAACTTTGATAGTTTCTTTCTCATATGTTAGAGTAGTCACCAGTCATTCATAGGAAGAAGACAGTGAACGCAACAGAACCATTGCTAGGTCTTCATCCTCAATAGTCACATCAAGTCGTGATAAATCTGTGATTATTTGATTGAAGTCATTAACATGTTGCGCCAGATCAGAACTTTCTTGCATCTTCAGCCCATACAACTTTTGCTTTTGATATAATTTATTCTTCAGAGATTTAGTCATAAATTGAGTTTCCAATTTCTTCTGTATCTCCCCTGGAGATTTTAGATTATACCTCCTCTAGAGATTTTAGATTCATTACGTGATACATAACCTCATCTGTCGGACTAAATGTATGGTTGCTGCCGCTCGTTGTTGCAATTCTCATTCATAGGAAGAAGACAGTGAACGCAACAGAACCATTGCTAGGTCTTCATCCTCAATAGTCACATCAAGTCGTGATAAATCTGTGATTATTTGATTGAAGCCATTAACATGTTGCGCCAGATCAGAACTTTCTTGCATCTTCAGCCCATACAACTTTTGCTTTTGATATAATTTATTCTTCAGAGATTTAGTCATAAATTGAGTTTCCAATTTCTTTTATACCTCCTCTAGAGATTTTAGATTCATTACGTGATACATAACCTCATCTGTCGGACTAAATGTATGGTTGCTGCCGCTCGTTGTTGCAATTCGTTCCAATCTTCATTCTCCATGGCATCTGGTTTTGCTACTTGCAAAGCTTTCAAGATTCTCTGTTGAGTCAACAGATCTTTTACTCTTGTTTGCCACAATCCAAAGTTACATGTTTCATCGAACTTCTTCACCTCAAATTTTGCACCTGAAAATGTCATTTGAAAATAACTCCTGTAGCGAAAAAAATAATTCATTCAAAATCTCTGTCATTTCTGCGTCCTGGAATATCACCTGCGTCCACCAGGATCCCGCCGAGAAATATCTCCAGCAACGGAATAATCGGAACCGAAATTCAGAAATCGCAAATTTTCTCCTCCAGAGAAGAAGCTAAGTCTTCCGCCTGCAAAAGAATTTTTGAACCAGGAAGGAAGCAAATCGGAAGGAAGATTCCTCCTTCCAAATTCTCCTCCCGCAAAGAATTCCCTCTTGGCCGCCCGAATTCGCACCTTCCTTTTTTTGGTACGCCTCCAACAACAAATTAAATTTGAAAGATTTCTTGAAATCACCTTCTGTTTTCTGAAATCGGCTGCGTCTCCAGCAGAGCAATCCCGGAAATCAAATCCACTTTTTTTCTCCGCTTCTAGCCGAACCTTCCTTTCCAAACCACCCTCCTTTCCAGATCCACGCACAGAAGGAAAGATTCATTTTCGATTATTCCTCCGCGCGCATAGAAATCTTTCCCGTCTTCCCAGCAGCATTTTGCACCAAATCTTGCTGTCGCCGATCACGACTTCTTGCAATTCGTGGATTCTCCTACTGTACCGAAGCCGCGAACTAACGAACTCTTCTGTTGTACAGCGAACTCGCGAACCCTTCTGGTGCTGCTGTACCGAAGCCCTGTCCTTCCAGCGCCGAGCCGTCCGAACCGCAGAAGGCTTTGCCCAATTCGCCGAAATCGTCGCCGAACTGCTCACAACCCGAAATTTTTATTCCCTGCCCTAGAATTTCTCTCTAATACCACTTATTGAGAAATTAGGGCAAAGAAAAACATGAATCGACACAAATCCAGAAGAACATCAAGATTTAACGAGGTTCGGCAAAGATGTCTGCATCATCGAGAGCAGAGCCGTGGCTTTTCCACTAATCCAGAAAAAAGAGTATAAGATATAAAAAATGGGATAACCTAGGATTACAAACAGACCTATTTATAACCTTAGAAAGAGCAGAAAATGAAACATTGAGTACAATATGTAATTACCAAATTACCCATGTACCTTCTCTGTACCGCATCCCCAACCCACATAAGTAAACTCCCCCGATTTAGATAGATTTTTCCGCTTCACTCCGTTCCAACATCTTTCCCTTATATGATATATGAGTCATACCATAATAAAAAGTTTTTGTATTTTTCATAAGTTAAAATAGTTATATTTTTTATGTAATACATAAGATTTGGGCGGTACAAATGTAAAAAAAATGCAAAATTCTGATGTTAGGCGTGTAAATACATTAGAATTGGATAGCATGCATGTAAATGCCCCAAATTGAACATATCAATCACTCATGAAAGTGAAAATTTCACTTCTAAAAAAGCTAATATTTTTTTATCAGATTTAAAGATTTTGGTATTATGTAAGCAAATATCAAAATTTTGATGTTATTTATGTAAATATTTATAAATTGTGCTATTTTGAGGAAAATGATATGCTTATAATACAATATGTTATTTTTCCAAAGGTGATTGCAATTCTGGATAAATTAAAGGAGGAGAGGGAGAATTCTGGAAGAAAGGATGAAGAAGAGGAATCAAAATCTCCTGAATTGTCAGAATTGGATGAAGACTGGGACAGGCATGGCCATGATGAAGGCATAATATATGTAAATTAACATATTTCTGGCAATTAGAGTTGTTTAAATTTGATTTTTCATGCAGTGAAATTTGTTTATGTGAAAGATTTGGGTGATATGAATGTATAAAATTACATAAGAATTGGGTGGTAATGCAAATGCCCTGTTATTTCCATTACTTTCCCAACCCTTTGATTGCATGGGATAGGTAAAGTGATTTATCATTTAATTATTATTTGAAATTATCATATATGAGGGGAGCTTTTCTGCATAATGTAATGTTTATTTGGGATGATTGCTATGTTTTAGGGCTGTAAACGAGGCTCAGTTCATGTTCTGCTCGTTTATATTTCAAGCTCAAGAAGTATGTTCGTGTTCGGCTCGTTTGCTTAGCGAGCTGAACATGGACGTTCACGAACAAAGAGTCGTTTTGACAACCCTAATTCGGTAGCCATAAGATGTGAAGGATTAGAGCTAGATTTAAAAATTATTTTTTATATTAAAACATCATTGAATGTAATTTAATAGTTTTTATTCTATTTTTTAATTAATACGTATTATTGATTATAAATCTTTATTGCCTTGTAGTCAATTAAGTTTTTTTAAAATACTACTCATCAAATATATATATATATATAAAATTGATTAGTAGTATTTCGAGTCAAAACGAGCTGAACACGAACGAACAAATTTTTGTTCATGTTCGACTCATTAACTTAGCGAACGAGCTGAACATGAGTTGTTCGCGAATGACGAGCCGTTTTGACAGCCCTACATAGCAACGGGAACATTGTTATTTACAAAATTATTACTCGTGTTATTTTTTTGAACTATTGAACTCATCTATGATTGTTGGGAGTTTGATAAAAATGAAAATTACATGTTTGGGCTTTATTGTAAATTTCAAAATTTAAGTGACAAATTCAAAAATAAAAAATTGCAAGGTGAATTTTTTTGTAAATAGCAGTATTTCTTGTGCATTAGATGTAATTAATATGGGTTTTTTATATATCAACATTCAAAACATTAAATATAATATTTTAATTATTGATATTTGTTTTAGAATTAAAAATATTTAAATGGAAGATGCCTTGGATCACATGTTACATATTAAGTTTGTAAAAATGTTATTATTATATTTTAATAATATTATTATATTTTAATAATATTATTATATTTTAATAATATTATTATATTATTAAATATTTATTGAATCATTCATGTCAACCTCAATTGGCTCATTGAATTTTAAATTTTGTACTTTCAATCTAGTTAAGGCTATTTGGTCATAAAAATGATGATTAAGTTTATAGTCAATTCGCATGTCTCAACAAGTGGAATCTAACGAGCACAAGATCATCTAGTTTTGAGGTCATTAAGGTTTATTTGATCATATAAAAAGCTCTCATGACCAGGGGGAATTAATGTGGGATATCTGATCAGGTGGTTGTGGTAGTTATTATTCAAAGGATAAAAATACCCCTTTAAGGTCTATAAAATATTCCCTCTCTTCACTTTACGGGGAGGGGAAAAAGAAAAAAGTGTTAATTCTTAGTTTTGTTCGAGAATGAAGACCCAATGATAATTTCCAACCTCCGTAATTGTCGACCACCAATCATCTAGTGTTCTTAATGATTTGTTTTTGAGCCGAGAATGGGTCAACTTGAACTTAACTTGAATGCATTGACTGTGGCTCGAAATCAACTCTAAAAATCTACTTGTGGCTTGTTAGAGTCGAGTCGATTTCGAGCCAGCCGACTCAAAATTGAATCGAGCTCGTTCTTGCTCAATATTGAAAAAAACTACCATAAATTAAGTTATTTAAATATGTTTTAGCTTGAAAATCTGCTTGATCTGACTAGAAATCAAAAGTAACCGACTCAAATTGAGTTTTATATATATAATTTTTATAAATAAAAGTGTTTCAGGCTGATCTCGAGCCAATTCAAGCCGTCCCATTTATGTTTGGAAATCGGCATGCAAAAAATTTGATCCAAATTTTCAACTCATAGGTCGACTCGTTTATTTCAATCTGATTTCGATGTGAGTCAAAATTCGAATTAATTTATCCATTGATTAATGATCTTAGAGCTAAATTTATAGCCCTATGCTTGTCGACCATCATCAACAACCGCCAGCTATCCCCTGTTCGCCATTGTTGAACTTTTCGAAGCAACGAAGTACTATATAGAGTAACGACGCATATTATGGAGTAATGGTGAATCCCACAAAGTAACAACACACATTGTGATACTCTATCTAGTGACAAAAGTCTTCTACATACGGCGTAACACGGCGTTCTAAATGTTGTGCTATAACGCATCCTAAACACGGTGTATCAAAGACCCGACAATAACTTTCAACAACAAATATCTTCTAATTATTGCACTACAAATATTTATGTACATGAACATTATACTTTGAAAAATATTGTAACATTTTCCCGACTGTGGGACAAGTCCTGATTGTGGGATAAGAATTTATCATTGTACTCAAAAACTTATATTCAATTAGGCTGCTTTTTCCACATAAAAATTTTGGGTATCTTTCTCTTATTTATCTTTTTTATTTTATCATTCATGAGCCTGATGGAATGGCCCATGAATGGAGAAATATTTGCGTACATAAGATGTACGCAGCGCTGCGTACATCAGAGGTTATTCTGGGGTACAGGGGAGTTATATTCGGGTTATACCGGAGGTTACAAGGGGGTATAACCCAGATATAACCCCATTGTACCCCTGAATAACCCCTGATGTACGCAAAGCTGCGTACATCTTATGTACACAAATGGAATGAGTAACAAACCGTTTACTCCCTGAGCAAACAAAATTAGGGCAACCAAAACAGAGCTCACGTTCGTGTTCCTCCACTTCCCTTCCATCTCTCCGCCCCGTCTCATGGGTAGGGTTATCCGAGCACAGAGGAAGGGAGCGGGATCGGTTTTCAGATCCCACACCCACCACCGCAAGGATGGGTAGGGTTATCCGAGCACAGAGGAAGGGAGCGGGATCGGTTTTCAGATCCCACACCCACCACCGTAAGGGCGCCGCTCGTTTCCGTAGCCTCGACTTCAGCGAGCGCAATGGATACCTCAAGGGCGTGGTTACCGACATCATCCACGATCCCGGCCGCGGAGCTCCGCTCGCTCGCGTAACCTTTCGCCACCCGTTCCGCTACAAGCACCAGAAGGCGCTCTTCGTCGCCGAAGACGCCATGTACACCGGCGCCGCTCGTTTCCGTAGCCTCGACTTTAGCGAGCGCAATGGATACCTCAAGGGCGTGGTTACCGACATCATCCACGATCCCGGCCGCGGAGCTCCGCTCGCTCGCGTAACCTTTCGCCACCCGTTCCGCTACAAGCACCAGAAGGAGCTCTTCGTCGCCGCAGAAGGCATGTACACCGGTCAGTTCGTGTACTGCGGCCGTAAAGCTTCTCTCATGGTTGGAAACGTTTTACCCCTCCGCTCCATCCCGGAGGGTGCCGTTGTATGCAACGTTGAGCACCATGTTGGCGATCGCGGTGTGCTCGCGAGGGCTTCGGGAGACTACGCTATCGTTATCAGCCATAACCCTGATAACGGGACTTCTAGGTCAGATCTGAACTTGAAAGTTTCGGTTATCCTGGATTGGATTGTTTACTTTCGTTATGTAGATGAAAATAACAATAAAGAAAGAAGAGTATTTTCTTGATTGTTTTGTTCAATATTCGTTTTTGATGTGCCTGAAATAATACTATCGTTTTGCTCTTTTGGGAGTGTATTGATTTGGGTTTTGAATGGAAGACAGTTCAATTGTATGCAACGATTGCTGAAACTGTGATCAGAGTGCATGAAATTTTATTATAGATTTGAATTTGTGTAGGATGTTCAAAGTTCATTTCTTTTTGTGCAATTTCTTGCTTTTATTTCATTTCTGCTATTAGAAAATAGTTAAATCCTATGTTTTTGGCTTTTATAAACCCTATAAACAGCTGCATTTTTTAAGGAATAGGAGTGAATTTCCGTAGCTTTTTCTATCTCTTTGTTATCCCATATGGTTAGGTTGGTCGTCTGGCAAAAGCTTCATTTATTTAAACTATAACATTCTTTAGGCTTTTACTTTATACTTCCTATTTGTGTTTAGCTTACAATTCCTCCTCATTCCCCCTTCTTTTTTTTTTCTTCGTAGTGTTGTATGAGTTCTTAAATAAGTTTTGCACAACTTTTGTTCATGTTATTATTCATTTCCTTTTTAATTTTCTGCACTAATTCTTATCTACCCATTTTATTATTGCTTCTTCTTCTTTCCTTCATGGTACATGCATAAACCACTAATGACTTTTATCCTTTATATATATTTTTATTATCATTCATAGTTTTACATTATATTCATCTTAATATTCTCATTTTCTGTTTCTCATTTTCATATATAGTCTTTTTTTTTTCAATGCTCCATATCACATACATGATCTAACTTTCAATCTTCTTTATAAGCTTAGAACATAATACTTTAGAGACAGTTCTTTACTTTAACCACATAATGTTAACTTTAGAAATCTCATTCATCTCTTCTATATTTGGTTCTTCTTTATAATAGATCTAAATAATTGAATTGATCTTACTTAAGTATTACTTAATCTAATATAAAATTGAGTTGTGCTTGTCAAGTAATCCTGAACCCCTCACTTCGTAAACTTTTCCTCTGTCATTCAAGTTTTCAATTATATTAGGCTATTTGCATCTGCATTCTTAATTAAAATTATATCATTTGGAAATAGCACAAACCAAGGCACCTTTCTTTTTTATATTTATTGTAATTATCTCCTTAGCCAATGTAGATAGATTTTAGTTAAACATTGATTGTTGATGTGATTTATTGTGTTTGACATATCTTTAGCCACTGATTATTCTTTTAATGCTAGTTAGTTTTTTATCGTACAAATCTTTAATAGCTTGTAAGATACAATTGGTGTACATTTTTTTCTTTTAATGGACTCCAAGTCAGTTATTATGGTATAATCATATGTCCTTTTACGATGGAGAGGAATCATATGAATTTTTTTCTCTTTATATTTTTGGCATATATATCACACAAGTCTTATGTATTTTCGCGTCTAATATTTAAACTTTCATATTTGTATTTATAACACGATCTTTAATGCCACATCAAAAATACTACCTATATTTACTTTTAAAAAGTGAAATAAACATTTTCATGTATAAATTTATGACACCGAAGTGTTATAAATGTAAATATGTCAGTTTAAGTGTTATATGCTTTCTTCGTTCCATCTAAAGTACCCAAATTTTTGTAGAAAATTTAATCTTGTCCTCTTACTACACCAATTTTTGCACATGTTTGCTCACAAGTATGATTTGATTGACACTTACATGCGATGTAATTGCGAATATTTTTCTATTTCTGATCACAATCAGTTTACATTTTATAATTTTACTAGTATATTATTGGATTTTATCTAGCTTTATTTGAATATTTCCCATCTAGGCTTGAGATTGTTTAAGGTATGAATACAGTGCCTTACAAATGGTAGAAGTTTGCTTGGTGGCAAGGTGTATTCTATGTAGCACCAACACTTCTAAAAATGTATTGTACTTATGTCGAACACATATTGAATACAAACACATATTCGATATGCCCCTACATTTTTATGATACTACAAAATGTCTTGATTTATTTTTAGGCCCGAGCATGTCTGGGACACACCCCAACACCCAACTAACGTGAGCTTAACACGATTTCGATAACATGGTACAGAGGAATTAGAAAATTATAAATATACTTATAGCCTTAATTATATCTCATAGTCGAAATCACCCCATCTCGTCATGTTGAAGCTTCCTCTATCTTTCATCAAAATCGAACATCGAAGCTGCATCCAATATTTATTAAAGTCAATCATTAGTAATTTCCTTTTTGTAATTATACAGTTTTTTTAATTTTAGTAAATAAATTGGATTATAAGTTGGATGAATTATTTTGAAACATATTATATCTAATTTTAAAAATTAATTTTCATAAGCATGAGGTTTTTTAATTTAAATTAAATTTACGAAGTTAAATTTTATTATTGTATAATTTATATTGTGAGATGTTTAATAAAGAATGATGAAAAATATATAATTTATATTAATAATAAATTAAATATAAAAATATGTTCATGATGCATCGTGTCCCTGTATCGTGTCGCCGTGTCCGTGCTTCATAGGGTGTATTACATATAGGGTTTAGGGTTGGGGCATCAATATCATGCTTAAATTCAAACATAGTTGTGATTGCTGATGGCAGCTAGTTACACAGCTTTTCTATCATCTAGCCCGTCGCAATCAAAGTTATGTGCCTAACATAAAGCCTACATTTTACTTGAATTGCTAAAAGTTGAGTAAAATATTAGTTTAAATTTAAGATTAGTAATATGAATATGGAAATTTACTTACCTAGCACACAATTTTTATGTATTTATTTATATCACACCTAAATTTCAATATTTACATTCATAGCACTTCAGTGCTTTAAACCTATGCATGAAAATGTGTATTTCAATTGGTCTTCTTACACTAATTATCCCTTCAATGCTAGAGCAGGTGGCTTGGTCTACTGAATTAAGCAGTAGATGATTCTCACATCCCAATTATTTTGTTCTTTATACAATTAATTATCCCTGTTGTTGCTTGAGATTCGTTAAGTTTAATGTATTTACATATCTCACACCTAACGTTCCATATTTACACACATAGCACCTAATTTTTAAAATCTTTGTAAAAAATAACACGATTAAGTGAAAAAAGATTTTCATGTATAGGTTTAAAGCAGCGAAGTGTTTGTAAATATGAAAATTTAGGTGGGAGATATGTAAATACATACGAATTTTGTACTAGGTATGTAAATTTCTCTTGTTTTTAACAATGACAACAATTTGTAGCCCTGTTCTTTGCATATTCTTCTGTCACTGAGTTCATTTTGAGTGCATAGCCAACTTTTTTTTTTTCTTTTGTTGATGTTTAGTTATCATTGCAATGATAAATGTAAGTGAGATTCACATACTTATCTGAATTCTAATCTATTTACATATCTGGCACCTAAATTTTGATATTTACATTTATAAAACCTTAATGTTATAAGCCAGCCTATGTATAAAAAGGTGTATTTTGACTCTTAGTTAGAAAAATGGCATTTTTGATGTGATGTTAAAGGCTCTTACAAAGTTAGAAAAATGGCATTTTTGATGTGATGTTAAAGATTTGTGTGTTTTAAATATAAATATTAAACTTTAGCGGTTAGATACGTAAATACATAAGAAATGTGTGGTATTATATATGTAAATGCCCCTAAATGTTAATCTTTCTCTTGTGAATGTACTGCCTTAAAATTTTCCCTTCTGCACAACTAAACAACTATTTGCTCCCAAATTGTGCTACAGAATCAAGCTCCCATCTGGCGCGAAAAAGATAGTTCCCAGCGGATGTCGAGCCATGATCGGCCAGGTTGCCGGTGGTGGCAGAACGGAGAAGCCTCTCCTCAAAGCCGGCAATGCTTATCACAAGTACAGGGTGAAGCGGAACTGCTGGCCAAAGGTCCGCGGTGTTGCCATGAACCCCGTGGAGCATCCCCATGGAGGAGGAAACCACCAGCACATCGGCCACGCATCAACCGTTCGCCGCGATGCTCCGCCCGGACAAAAGGTCGGTCTCATCGCTGCCAGGAGAACGGGTCGCCTCCGGGGACAACCGCCACTGCCGCCAAGGCCGACAAGGGTTCTTAGCCAGGTTTTCGCCTTGCGCTTTTCTTCATTTTTATATTTATGGTAATCTTATTTGTTTCAAAGCATTTATAAAAATTTGGGAGTTTTGTGCTAAAAACTTGATGGTTTTGAGGATTATTGTTGTGTTAGAAACCATTTTCTTTTTGAGATGGGGTTTTTGTTTGAATATAGAAGTGTAAAAGTGCGCCAAATTTAGAAGAATAACAAAATAGAAAAAAAAAACCAAGGGAAATTACATACATACCTCACAATTCTTATGCATTTACATTATCTAATACCAAAGTTTGATATTTATTATTATACCTTGGTGCTATAAACCTATGGATGAGAAGCTGTTGATGTGTGATGTTAAAGATTTGAGTGTTATGCATGTAAATATGAATGTCTCGGTGCTAGATATGTAAATACAGAAGAATTGTGTGGTATGTATGTAAATGCCCAAAAAACAAATGTGTTGTTATGGATAACCTGTTATGATGTAAATTTAGATATAAATAATGCTATATATAATTTTCTTAGGTCGAGCTAAAATGAGTGGAACAAGTTCAAACAAAGAGTCGTTCCTGTTTGGCTCGTTTATAATTCGAGCTTAAAGAACTTGTTCGTGTTTTGCTCAAGCCTTCCAAGTTATCAATGTTCGATAGGAAGTTAACTGTAGAGCGCTTTTATCATTTGCCCTTTATCAAAAGGATATTTGCAAATATATCCATTTGATAGCATATTATATTACAATGAATAATTCAACGACCATAATCAACTTGATCTGATTCCAAATCTCTACTTGCTTCCTTTAATGTGTAGTAGTTCAACAAACTGAAAAGTAGGAAAATCCCTCTCTACAATTTCTTTTTTGCTAACCTTTAATCTAATTTCTAATCATGAGTCCTCATAGTTAATACAATATAAACATCTTTTATATTTATTATTATTATTTTGCAAATTTACATGCATAACCCCACACAATTCACATGTATTTACATTTCTAACACAAAATTTGTTATTTTCATTTATAACACCTTGGTGTAATAGACCTATCCGTAAAAAAAGTGGGGTTTTTAGCTGAAAATGTTGGACAGGGTTTTTTGATGTAATATTTAAATATTTTGCCATTTTGGTGCTATTTATGTAGATACATAAATATTTTGTGGCATGTATGTAATTGGTTCGACATGTGAATCCAAATATTTATAAGGATGTTTTTAAATTCATTAAATTTAAATTAAGATGAATATTATATATATATTGTGTGTGTGCGCGTGCGTGAATGACCTGACTCATTGGTGCGACCTCTGACGTTAAGTCTCTCGGGTCGGGGTTCGAATCCCGTGGTGTGTACTCTTCGAATCATAAGCAAGCACACAAAAATTTTCAACCCTTTGGGGGGATCGATATTTGGTGCCCACTTGACCAAATGTTGATTTCACCTTTTAAAAAAGAATATATATATCTTTGTACTTTAAAATCTTGGGCAAACATGTAATTAATTATATATCTAACACCTATATTTTATTTCATAAATTCATAACACTCAAATTTTTTATATCACATAAAAAAATATTATTAATATTAACTTTTAACAAGATTATATATATATATATATATTATTTTTTTATTTTCCTAACTAACTTGCTCTGGCTGAAGAGGCTAAACTCAAATGCTACCTTCCCGAAAAAGCCTTTCCCCAGCTATTCTCCAAGAATCCCCCTCCACGCATGCCAGCTTTTTATTAATAATTAAATAAATAAAATAAAATAAAATAAAATAAAAAATTGCTAGTTAATTTTAATTATATTGAATAACATGATTGGTTAATAATTAAATTATTATACACTATTATAAATACAATTAAATCATCATGTATTCATAAGGATCATTTAACTAAATCCAGCTTATTAATGTCTGTCATTTAAATTCATTTATATTATTTAATAATTTAGATGTATTTAGCGATAACATATGAATTTTACATTTATCATATAGCTATAAATATTCTATTTTCTCACCTACTACATCTTGATACATTTATCTATGGAAGATTTGCATGCATTCCACTCAATTCTTACATTTTTATTCCAGCCATTTTTAAGGTGGCATGTATGTAAAAAATTAAAATTCACACGCTAGATATGTAGATATAAAATAATTGAGTGGGTTTGTCTGTAAATCTTTTGTAACAAAATATTACAACCTCTACTGTCATGACTCATCTCGGTGGCGTGGCTAGGGCAAACAATCGTTCGTGGAAGGGTATGCAGACGCGGGGCAAAGCGGCAATATTTCCTTCCGGCGCTGGGTATAACTCGCGGCCCATCTTTCACTCGAATTATTTAAAGCCAGACTGCCAACACAAACGAAAATAATAAAAAAAAAAAGTAGCCACGCGACAAAAAAGTGCTCCAAACACGAAAAATTATTGTATACGGACACCGCAATAGATCACGGTGGTTTACAGCCAGGATGTATTTCAGTTTTTTTTAAACAAAAACTATTAAGTGAGACCCACCAAAATACATCATGACCGTAAATCATCTTATCTATGATCAAAATCAGACACCGCATACATCTCTGCATGTGATATACATATGTAATAATTTTTTACAGACACTTATTTTGAAAGTTCTTATAATAAATTTGTAAGAAAAAGGAAGTTTGACCGAATAAAAATTTTGCAGATCAAGCCAATGTCTGCTGGAATTGCGTGCCCGCCAAGGACCCTTCGGCCTTCTCGATCAGTACAGCTGCAATCTACTAATTATATATATATAAAAATCAATTAAACATTTGCTAAAAATTCAAAGATTCATCCACAGCTTTTTTGATATTTACATGCATATCATTATGATGCGATAAAATAAGTTAATAAGAGTTATACTTTTGATATTATATTAAATATTTGAATGTTATGAAAGTAAATATGAAAGTTTAGGTGTTAGATATGCAAATATAGAAAAAAAATGTGTGGTATGTATGTAAATGCCTCATTTTTCAATCTCCTTGTGCTCTATTTTCCTAAACACTAAAATAGTCTAATTTAGTATGCTAGTTATGAAAATCTATAATATTAACATTAAGATGAAAAAGAAAAAATGGCCACATCGATTTGTGCAAAATAAAGATGTAATTAATTAATTAAATTTGGTGCTAATTGATAAAAATATTAAAATTTAGAAGTATATTTATGCCACTTTATTTATACGAAAAAATATATATTTCATTTAATAGTTAAAGTAGTTATATTTTTAACATGATATGAAAGATTTAGATATTATTAATTTTTTAAGAAAATATTTAGGTGTTAAATATATAAATACATAAGAATTGCGTTACATGTATGTAAACACCCATACAGGTTATTGTCCAGATCATGCAATGAATTTTAGGGTATGTTTGGGGCAACTGCAGTTTATTGAATAATGTGCTGATAAGCTGATTAAAAATAATCTGTTAATAAGCTAAGTGCGGTGACTATTACAAATTTTTATTTTTTTACAAATTTTTATTTTTTTAAAAAAGTCACATCGCTACCAGAAAGTTGTCACCGCACTTGATAGATGCGATGTGAAAACACTGTTTTCAGTATTTTCAAAATGCATAAGTTGCCAAAACGCAGTTTACCCAAACATACCAGCACCAAATAAACTGTCCCAACCAGACCCATAATTTTACATACATTCCACCCTAAATGTGTTTTTCACTTTATAAAAGTTAAAATAGTTTTTATTTGTTTTTTATGTGACATTGAAGAGTTGAGAGGTATAAATGTAAATGACAAAGGTCAAGTGTTAGAAATGTGAATGCATAGGAATTAGGTGCGATAAATGTAAATTCCCCCATAAATAAACATAAAATAAAGAATTAATACAAACAAAAAGCAGCCGAGCAGTTGTGGCAACCAAATAATTCTTATTTATTTAAAAATCTAATATTTACACTATTGGCATTAGCCGGTGTCAAATTGGGTTCATGAGTCGAGTTTGGATGACTCAAAATTAAACAAACCCAAAACTACTTCACCAGAACACGACCCAAATATTAAACGGGTCAGAAAGTTCAATCAAATTCGACCAAGCTTCAACTTGCTCACCCAAACCCAACCTATGTCGCTCATTCAACAGGCCATAATAGATATTCATGTTGATTTAATATCAAATTTAGGTTGATTTTGGGTCAATCTTGAGTAAGTTTCAGATCAACCCGGGTTTCATTAGTCGAGTTTGGATGACTCAAAATTAAACAAACCCATTCATGAGTCGAGTTTGGATGACTCAAAATTAAACAAACCCAAAACTACTTCACCAGAACACGACCCAAATATTAAACGGGTCAGAAAGTTCAATCAAATTCGACCAGGCTTCAACTTGCTCACCCAAACCCAACCCATGTCGCTCATTCAACAGGCCATAATAGATATTCATGTTGATTTAATATCAAATTTAGGTTGATTTTGGGTCAATCTTGAGTAAGTTTCAGATCAACCCGGGTCATCTTCTTTGCGGGGCAAGTTCAAGTCAAGTTCGAGTTGGAAGGTCCACCCAAACCCAACAAAAAGTTAAACATGTTAGTATCACTAAACCATACTCAATATAAAATTTATTCGGGTCAACGGAAACCCAAATTTTTTATTTCAGTTTTGACGCGTGCTAGAAAATTCTGAGCGGTAGAGTAATGGATTATCATCTTAGCATTGCATAAAAATTCAACACACACATACACGTAAAAGAAAACAACTTAAAAATTCAACACACACATACACGTAAAAGAAAACAACCAGTAATGACACTAGAAGTTTTTATGTGGAAAACACATAAAGGGGAAAAAATCACAAGGGCTGACCCAGATATAAAAATCCACTGCATATTGATGATTGCAGCGACCCCTTGTTCCAAATACAGAAAATGATTACTAGATTTTCCAATTTACAACATCAACTGACGACTTCCATTTGATGATGGTCAACTGTGATTGGTGGTGATCGACGGCGGTCAACAATTGACGAGTCGTCAGGCAGTGCTTGACAGCAATCGGTGGTTGTCGACAACGACCCGCAGCAGTGCTCGACGACAGTTAATGGTTGTTGGCGGCAATCGACAGTTGTCAACAACGATTGATGACGGTTGAAAATAGTTGACCGTTGTCTGCGGGTGTCAATGATGATCGGCGATGGTCTACGGCCGTCGACCACAGTCAAGTAAATCAGTTCGCAAGTTTGCTGAAATTAAAGTTATGGATGAGTTTTTATCGAGTTTTAAATATTTCTTAGTCAAAAAACCGTCTAGAAATCTATGTCATGCATCGAGATTCATATGGGAAGCTTAAGATTTGTTGTATCAACTTTGAATTGAATTGGCTTGCCTAGTTTTTTTTTTAACACCTGAAAAAAGGAATTTGTTTTAATTTTAAAATGATAATGATGATGATATTTTTAGTTTAATATTAAATATTTGGTTGTCTAAAAAGTTCGATACATAAATATTATATGAAAAAAAGAAGTTTGGTATGTATAATGCATGTAAATGCCCCAAATAAGAATAAAATTCCCGCACCGACTGCGCTTCCATCTTCCTCGTCTTCTTCTTCTTTCCCCCCTGCTCTGCTTATTCTCTCAAAGTCAACCTTTTCCTTTCTGTACACGTTGAAAACGACCACAGAACTCCCTGCAAACCAATGTAGAAAAACAGAAAAGGCGCGCAGCTTCCTTCCCCTCTCCATCCCCTCTTCTACCCCCCTTCATCCACTAATCTCCACTTCGCCACCTTCCCCCAATCTCCAAAAACCCCATCTTTTCAATTTTCTGTCCATCCTCTTCCCAACAATCCCTCCCAATCATGCTCCCCGGTAACCACTGGGGCGGGCCATTAGAGATCCACGGCGACGAACCCGCCGACGACGAACAAAGCCGCAACCTTGATCTCGATCCCCACGCCCTCGGCCGCCGGCAATACCTCGACGAAACGCAGCAGAGCTGGCTTTTAGAACCACAGCTGGCTAAGAAGCGAAAGAACAAGTATGTTGACTTAGGCTGCTTTGTCTGCAAACGCAAACTCCTCTGGTGGATTCTCTGGGCCGCGCTCGCCTCCTTCGTCCTCATCGGAGTTCCCATAATCATATCCAAATCCTTGCCCAAACACAAGCGAGCTCCGCCGCCCCCCGACGAGTACTCCAAAGCGCTGCATAAAGCTCTGCTTTTCTTCAACGCCCAAAAATGTAACAACTTTATTGCTCTCCGATACATTCACTTCATTTCCACATCATCTTTCAGATAATTTCAGATGAATTCATTGTACAGCGGGAAGATTACCGAAGAACAATGGGATTTCATGGCGAGGGGACTCGGGGCTGAGAGACGGGGTGGGAGAGACAGAGCTGAAGCATGGATTGGTGGGAGGGTATTACGATGCCGGAGATAATATAAAGTTCCATTTTCCGATGGCTTTCTCCATGAGTCTGCTGAGCTGGTCGGTGGTGGAGTATAGCAGCAAATATAAGGCGCTGGGAGAGTATGATCATGTCAGAGACATCATTAAATGGGGGACTGATTATCTTCTCCTCACCTTCAATTCCTCTGCTACAAACATTGACAAGATTTATGCGCAGGTAACAGCTTTGATTCCCTCTAATGGCTGCTCCGATTGCAAAATTCATGTTTTTTTTTCTATTACCAGGTGGGCGTGGCGAAGACCAACTCCACCACCGCCGACGACCACTACTGCTGGCAACGTCCGGAAGACATGTCGTACCCCCGCCCCGTCATCTCCGTCACCTCCGCCCCTGATCTCGCCGCCGAAATCTCCTCCGCCCTGGCCTCCGCCTCCATCGTTTTCCGCGACAATCCTTCCTACTCCTCCCGCCTCCTCCGCGCCGCCTCCACCGCCTTCAAATTCGCCCGCAGCGCCTCCCGCCGCTCCCCCTACTCGCGCAACAACCCCGACATCTCCTCCTTCTACAACTCCTCGGGCTACTGGGACGAGTACATGTGGAGCGCCGCCTGGATGTATTACGCCACCGGGAACTCGAGTTTCGCCACCTTCGCCACCGATCCCCGGCTGCCGAAGAACGCGAAGGCCTTCGGGAGCTTGCCGGACCTCGGGGTGCTCAGTTGGGATAATAAGCTCCCGGCGGCGATGCTGATTTGGACGAGGTTCAGGATTTTTCTGAACCCCGGCTATCCGTACGAGGAGTCGCTCCGGGGTTATTTTAATGCTACCGGGCTTAATATGTGCGCTAATCTTAGAAGGTTTAATGTCTTCAATTATACAAAAGGTTTGCGTTTAATTTTTATTTATATGTTTTTTTGTAGGGAATGATTTTCTGTCCCGACTCTCCAAGACGTGGCTCTAAGTGTCCATTCTAATAATACAACCATATTTGTGTTTTATTGGGGAGGAGGTTGTTTCGGGATTATTGAAGTGGAACTGCAGAGATTATTGAAGAAAAACTCATATATTCCACTTGAATAATCCAAAAAAATCGAGAAATAACCCTGAAATAACATTTACGATTCTACTTCAATAAACCCGAAATAATAACGTAGAGGTTATTTTGGGGTTATTAAAGTAAAATATATGAGTTTCTCTTCAATAATTTCGAAATAACCTCAAAATAACATCTACGGTGTTATTTTGGGTTTACTGAAGCAGAACCTCAGAGGTTATTTCGGGGTTATGCAGAGTCCGCGATTCCACTTTAATAATTTTTTAGGCGGGTCTGATATAACACATATGACAGTATATTACTGGTAGTACGCACGTAGAGCTACCTCCAGAGTCCGGATAGAAATATTTTTCTTTTTGAGGATCTCATTTTGAGCGTGCTGAGCTGAGATCGGCTCGAAATTGGCTTGAATAGATTTGGTGTCGCTCGAATCGACCTGTGGCTCGTTATATTTGATTTGAGGCCGAGTTGGCTCGACATTGAATCGAGCATGATCCGGTTCGAAGTCGAAACGGGCTGACTCAATTTATGTTATTTGAATCCTTTCTAGCTCGAAATTGGCCCCGGTGACTTGTCATATTAAATCATATTTATTATTATATACATATATAGATATAATTTTTATAAATAAAGAAATTTATAAGGCATTCTCAAGCCAGTATGGCTCGAAACAAATTTGATCCTAACTTTTGGCTCATAGCTTGGCTCATTAAAATTCAAATTGCTTTTCGAGGGATTAACGATCTTCGAGCGAAATTCACAGCCCTGATTAGGTGTTATGATTGACTCAAAATAAATTAAATGATTTTTCGAACTGTAAATAATGTTTTGCATTAATTCCATTATTTTTAATTTTGTAAATTACATCATAATTAATTGTTAGGTGGGATGCCGGAGCTGAATCATGGCCGGCCACAACCGCTGCAGTATGTAGTGAACGCGGCTTTTCTGGCTAGTTTATACGCGGATTATATGGACGCCACGAAGGTACCCGGCTGGAATTGCGGCCCTTATTACTTCTCCACTGACGTTCTTCGCTCTTTCGCCGCTTCCCAGGTACTGTTTGATTTTACGGTTAAATAAATTTTCGTTATTTTTTCTTTTTTTTTTTTAATTTTGGAAATTTACATATTCATTCCACACGATTCACATGAATTTATATATTTAACACCTAAAGTTTGATTTTTACATACATAATATTAACCCATGCATGTAGGGCTGTCAAAATGGCTCGTTGTTCGCAAACAGCTCGTATTCGGCTCATTCGCTAAGCTAACAAGCCGCGAGCCGAACACGAACAAATATTTGTTCGTTCATGCTCGGCTCGTTTTGGCTTGAAATACTACTATCAATTATATATATATCTTTGGTAAGTAGTATTTTTTTAAAAAAAATTAATCGACTATAAGGCTACAAAGATTTATAATCAATTAAAAGTATTAATTAAGAAAATAGAATAAAGATTATTAAATTAGATTAAAAAAATACTTTAAATCTTACCCCAATCCTTGTCATCTTATGACTACGTGATTAAGGTTGTCAATACTTTAAATCTTACCCCAGTCCTTGTCATCTTATGACTACGTGATTAAGGTTGTCAAAATGATTATTTGTTCGTGAACAGCTCGTGTTCGGCTCTGTCCGGCCCGCTAACCAAACGAGCCGAACACGAACACCATTTTTGAGCTTGAAATATAAACGTGCCGAACACGAGCTGAGACTGGGCTCGCTGTGTTCGGGTCGTTTACACCACTACATGCATGAAAGATGTATTTGGATGCCGAACACAAGCTGAGACTGGGCTCGCTGTGTTCGGGTTGTTTACACCACTACATGCATGAAAGATGTATTTGGATTTAAAAGTTGAGTGATATGCATGTACATATCAAAGTTTAGGTATTAGGTTTGTAAATAGATAATAATTGTGTGGTATATATGTAAATGCCACGTAGATGTTTGGATATTTTATCAGATTTCTATATATAAATACGTAAGAGTTCTTTGGTGTATGTGTAAATTTCCCTTTTAATTATTATGAGTCTCAAAGTTATTGAATTCGATTTGTAATTAGTATAATATAAATAGAGCTGTCTAAAGAGCTCGTTATTCTCGAGCAGCTCGTGTTCGGCTCGTTAATAAGCTCATATTTGATCGTTCACTAAATTAATGAGACGAACACGGTAATTTTTTTACGCTCGATATATAAACGAGGTGAGCACGAATAAAGATTTGTTCATTCGAGTTCGAATCGTTTTGGTTCGAAATACTACTCATCCATTATATATATATATATGTATATATATATATTAAATTTAAATAACTATTTGGCTACAAAGACTTATGTTCAATTAAAATTGTTAATTTAAAAAATAGAATAAAAAATATATTTAATTATATTTAAATAATATTTTAATATAAACAAGATTTAAATCTTATTGGAACCCTTAACATCCTAAGTCTCTTTATTCACAAACAATTCGTGTTTGACTCGCTGAGCAAACAAATCGAACACGAACACATTTCTTGTGTTCAAAACATAAACGAGACGAACACGAACAGTGATATTTTTTAACGATCTGAACATGTGCTGAGCCTGGGCTCGCTCGAGTTCGGCTCGTTTTACAGCCCTAAATATTAATGCCAATTAATTCTGAAACATCACTAATCTTAAAGTAAATTATTGCATCACTCAGGAAAATAAAGCTTCCTATTTTTCTGAATTCATCATTGCAGATCAACTATGTTCTCGGAGATAATCCGCGAAAGATGAGCTACGTGGTTGGCTACGGCCGGAACTACCCTCGCCATGTCCACCACCGCGGGGCTTCCATCCCGCACAACGGAGTCAAGTATTCCTGCACTGGTGGCTGGAAATGGCGCGACGCCAAGACGCCTAACCCAAACACCATTACCGGCGCCATGGTCGGCGGGCCTGATAAGCACGACGGCTTCTCCGACGTTCGCACAAACTATAATTACACGGAGCCGACGCTGGCCGGCAATGCCGGCCTCGTTGCTGCTCTGATTTCACTCACTGCCACCGGAGGGTCTGGAATTGATAAAAATACTATCTTTGCGTCTTTGCCGCCGCTCTTTCCGGCGGCGCCGCCGCCTCCTCCGCCGTGGCAGCCTTAAGATTTATTAATTCTTTCTTTCCTTTTCTAAAAAGTTGAAAAAATTTGTTCATTAGCATGGGTGGTATCACTGAATAAATTGTATTGAAACAAAATATCTTGATATTACAAAACAAATGTGAGCAAAATTTGTTCACATTTATGAACAAAATGTGGGAAAAAATTTTGCATCATGAGTCAATGAGAGTCATCATTGACTCATGATGTCTCGTGATATAAAATTTTATTAGGAGTTCAATCACAATGTGTCATGTGTATGATCCGACTCCACTAAAGACAGAAAACTAAATTATTTAATGCATGACGGACCGGACCGTACACGTGATGCATTGTGATTGGAGTCCCAATATAATTTTGCATCAGAACTCCTAATGTAATATTTTTTCAAAATGTGGAGATTTAGCCACTGTTAAATATCTTTCTGGCTCGAAGCAATCATGGCAGAATATTACAAATCACAACATAAATATTTGGGGTGGTTTGAACCGCTATGTAGTAGTTTAGGTTTTATAAGAATTAAGTATTATTTATCATATATGATTAATATCGATTTAATTTCATGAATCTTTCATTTGATTTCGATTTTTAAGTTTCATCTTTTAAATTTGCTCAATTAAATAAAAGTTTAGATCATACAAATATGTGAAAATCAAATATTTATGTTCTAAAAGTAAAAATTTAAACAAATATATATATATATTCATGAATCTTTCATTTAATTTTGAGTTCTTAGTTTCATCTTTTAAATTTGCTCAATTAAATAAAAGTTTAGATCATACAAATATGTGAAAATCAAATATATATAGATAATCCTGTAAAATTATTTGATAATTTCTGTTAGGATTTAAGAGTATGTATGGTCGTTGGACTTAAATAACAAATCATAATAGGATTTGGTAAATTGTGTGAATTTGATTTCTTAAAATGTTTCAAAATACACAAAATCAGCTAACTTCTTAAATTCAATTAACATTTCATTTCAAATTATGATAATTAAAAATTATATATTTACTAAATTAATTAATTATTAATACAAATTTTATTAAATTATTTATTAAATAGAAGTTAAATAATTTTTAAAAAACAAATAATGAACGATGCTGTCGTATTGGAGCTAGCTAAGAACTCAACGATGGGATCGCGGCTTATGGAAACCCCGAACTCCCTTTTTCTCCCTCTTCCACTCCTCTCCTGCCCGCAACCATTGAGGAAGTTAACTTAATCGATTTACTAAATCCACCAATTTATTGGATTTAGTAAATCTGGGATTTAAAGCCGAAGTCCGTGAAATCTAGATTTATCAAATCCAAAGTTTTATTTTGTCCAAAATGACTGTTTGGCAAAAAATAAGGTTAAATCGAGCTTAAATCCCGCTCTAAATATGTTACTAGGCAAGCCCTATAACTGTGAATTTAGCTCGAAGATTGATTTGAATTTCGGCTCAAATCAAGATCTGATCGAAATAAACAAACTGAGCTACAAGCCAAAATTTTGGATTAAGTTTTTTTAGCCGGTTTCAAGCTCACCCTAGTGATATTAGGGCTATGAATTTAGTGAATTAAGTTCGAAGATTATTGCTCATTTATAGTGATTCAAATTTTGGCTCTGATTGAGAACGGATCGAAATAAATAAGTCGAACTATGAGTTAAAATTTTGGATTGAATTTTTTTGATATGATTTGAAGCCGATCCCAACTTGGCTCGAAATTGGATTATTGACAACCCTAATGGGACTGCATTTTACATTTTTTTTTTCACATAAAAATCTTATTTAAATAAAGCAACGGCTTAATTTTTATTGCCGTTGAAGAGCTTTATACCACCCAAATATAAGTATGGTATGCTTTGTATGTAAATCTCTTACGCTAATGCTTTACAACACAGTGAATTACTAATAATATATCATATTTTGTTGATGTGTGCTAGAAAATTCACAGCAGTAGATTAGCAGATTATCGTCTTAGTGTGGAGCAAAGATGAAGAGAAAACAATCAGTAGTGACACCATAAATGTTAAGGTGAAAAACCTGTAAAGAGAAAAAAACGCATTGCCTAGCCCTGTTAAAGAAATCCACATGTAGATTGTATACATAAGCACCTTTCCGTTTCTTTGGGGAGCATTCTTCATAAAACCCAACATATGTTGTGAGCCCAAGCTTTCCAACATGACCATGAGACCAACTAATCCATATATAATTCCACTATTAAATGAGATAAGTGGCAAAATATTTCATTTCAATCTCAAAATTTATATATGATTTAATTTAGTCGCCACGAAAGAGCTCTTAAAAGCCTGCAATAGAAGCTTGGTGATTAATTTGATATTTTCATGAATTTTTTTACTATAATGTTCTCATGTGAGAATAACCAGGGAACTATTTTCACTTACTATTTCACACGCACACGCTACATACTATATTCAATGTTGAAGTATAATCAACAAACCCAAGAGCATCCATCAGAAACTTTAAAATAAAAGCAGTAATTTGGAACATGTGTTTAAATCATTTATACATCGAGCTAAAAAATTGTGTTCAGCTCGTTTGCCTAACTAGCCAAACACGAGTTGTTCACGAATAATAGGTCGTTGTTCACGAATAATAAGTCATTTTGAAAATCTTAGTGACAGTCGTAAGATCTTAAGAGTATTGCGAGATTTAAATCTTATTATTTATATTAAATTTAATATAATTATATTTTATTGTTTAATTAGTTATTTTAATTTATTATAAATCTTTATAGCTATGTAGTCAATTATATTATTTAAAAATAATATTCATTAATTATATATATAATTTAATTATTTCAAGCTAAAACGAGCTGAACGCGGACAAACAAATCTTTATTTATGTTCGACTCGTTTTAAACACGGACAAACAAATCTTTATTTATGTTCGACTCGTTTATATATTGAGCGTAGAAAAATTGTTCGTTTTTTACTCATTTATTTAGTGAACGAATCGAACACAAATTATGTAACCAGTCGAACACGAGCTGTTCACGAATTTTGATGATCTAGTACCAAGAGGTACAGCATATGAAACCATTTCCGTTTCAACATGAATTTTGAGAAAGGTTTTTAGCTTTGTTTCCTGTAGTTCTTTTTTTTTTATTATTAGTGATTGTAAAATAAAATCAAGAAATGTTCTGAATGTTAAATAATTCTCTCTCTCTCCAAGGAGCAGATGGGCAATGAAAAAGGCTTGTATTGGCATAGCACAAATTAGGGGTTATGCAGGTGGGAATGCAATGGTGTTCCAAATCTCTCTACTGTCATTTGTTTCTTGGATTTTTTATATGAAGTGGCAGCCTAATGTAGAACCAATGAAGCTCAGGTTGCACTTTGTTTTAATATATGATTTTAATATATCACTCTGCTGTCGCGAATTCTCGGACACGCAACAAGAACCATGTACATGTTAACGAAGTCCTGCTAAACAAACAAGGAGTGTTTTGGCACTTATGGAGATCAAATGTACGATTTACGACGAATGTAAACAAATGCATCATCAAGATCAATACCAGCAAATATATATCTTAATATACACTATTGAATAAGATAAATGTCAAAGCCAAGATGTGAGGCAAGGATTGGGTCGAACACATACGATGACGATGTTAGACAACAAAGAAAGGTGCCGATTGTGACATAAAAAGTAGGCATCTTTGTAAATTGCATAATTTGGGGAAGTTCATGTGACAATTTATTCTAAATTCTTCCCATTTGGGAAGATTCATAATGCTAAAAATATAAACTAAACTCTCTATATTTATTTTTTCTGCAGGAGTAGCGCAAAAGCTTTGCAAAAGCTGCATTACTCATTCTAAATGGTTTCTACAATATCAAACTACCCTTTTAGGTTATTTATTATCCAAATAAGATTCAAAGCAATCTAATATAAAACCAAAAACACAATTTATTAAGAACTTCGGCTGACTGTTAAAATGACAAAAACTGAAAAGCCGAAACATAAGATTCCAAAAATCTCTTTTAATATCTATAGAAATTAATAAAAAATTTTCAAAAATAGATTTCAGAACATTAAAGATTCTATATTTAATTACAATTGATTAAATATTGCCAACAAATCATTTTTTTAAGGTTAATAAGTGAAACTAAACTATAGTTTAAAAAAAAAAAAAAAAAGGACTAATAACCAAATTAATAAAAAATTTTCAAAAATAGATTTCAGAACATTAAAGATTCTATATTTAATTACAATTAATTAAATATCCAAAGAAAAACTATAGAATTTCTTTTTAATGGCAACAATCATTTTTTAAGGTTAATAAGTGAAACTAAACTATAGTTAAAAAAAAAAAAAAACAGGACTAGTAGCCTTCACCTGGATTTGTCAAGATTAAGTTTTAGGACTTTAAAATCAAGAACACAGTAACCATTCAGTAGATGGTTTTAACTATACATGCGGATCACAGATACTTAAAAAAGTATTTTTTTTAAAAAAAAGGAGGTGCGGAAATGGTAGTGATTAAGCCGTACTTGTATGGAGTGTGTTTCCATTTCTCTTGGCTTGAATATTGGAGCTTCATTTCCCTTGGCATGGGGGTTTAGCGAGCAACTTCTTCGGCAGCTTGTCCAGAGGGGTTGTTTTCAGCAGAAAAAGCCTGGAAGCTCGCTCCTGCAGTGTGCCGCCGCACTTCAGGCCCCTTGCCTGCAGCTCCATCTTTAGCCTGTCCATGCCAAGAACCTGCGACAACATTTTGTTAAGAGAATTCCACTTTGCATGAATCAACATATTTTGTTAAGAGAATTCCATATTTTGTTAAGAAAATTCCACTTTGCATGAATCGACATATTTGGTGACATCTCGTTCAATATGCATTGTTTGTTTTTTTTTTATTTGATTTGAAATTTTTTTATGATCATATTTGATGAACAAGGCTTTATCAAAAAACTACTACATATCGAAAAAAAACCCCTAACCAAATATATTTTAAAATAAAAAATCATATTAAATAGTAGTTCAAGCTTTTAGTATCCCACCGATCAAATATTCAAATCATGCATATTGCCCTTTGAGCTCAACTTTTCCGAAAAAAAAAAACCCTAAAGAGCCATTTGGGATATGTCAAGATCAGGCCCCCTGGGCTCATAATTAATCAAAACGAATATAAACGATCAGACGGTGGAAAGTAAATTTTCTATGACTAATAATTTATCATCCAATTGAAATGAAAGAGCAACTAAATAAAGTAAATTAAATTTTTACAATAAAATTTAGCTTATTTCTGATTGTTCGGGACTACTATAAATATTTTCTATTATATTGTTCATATTTTAATCAAATAGTTAAAACCTGAAATATTAGTTTAGAACAAAAATAAACTAATCATAGTTAGTGAATACTCATATTACTGAAGTATGTAACACAATGAAAAAATAATAATTTGTATACTAACTGAACTGCATGTAAATCAATCAAGAAGATTTGACTGTTTGTACTGTTTTAATATGATCATTCAAAGTGATTCAAAACATTAATTATGTCTATATTATTTACATATCAATATCTTTTAAATCTATATACAACCGCCCCAAGAGCATCATCTAAACCTGTACCAATGAACGCACATCAGTATTAATATTATTTTCTATTTATGTAAACGAATATGTTACGCCCTTACAAGCGTCGGTCCACCCTTGACCAGCTGGAAGCAGTATATCTGGCTCATAGGCAGGCCGGTCTGGGTGACGAGAAGAAGTGGAACAGATAGGCGAAGCCACAAAAGAAGAAAAGGAAAGGGTGGGGTCCACTAAGGCCATAATCACCTATGCAAGGAGAAGAGATTAAAGAAGTTTGAAGGGAAAATTAGGAAGGAAAGTTTTTAAAATGCTGTGAGAGGATTTTATTAGGGTAGAACTTAGGGTTTGCTTTCTTTTATGCATGGTTTATAAGAGATTAAAGAAGTTTGAAGAGAAAATTAGGAAGGAAGGTTTTTAAAATGCTGTGAGAGGATTTTATTAGGGTGGAACTTAGGGTTTGCTTTCTTTTATGCATGGTTTATTGCAGCTGTTGTTTTTCTTTCTTCTTGTCTAGTGACGTCTAGGGTATGAGAGAGGCTATCTACCTCTCGGATAGTAGAGCAATTTTGTATCTTGCTTGTTTCTTTTGATCTTTCGTAAGAGTAGCCCTCATTTGTGTTTTTTTCACCTATCTATTGTCATTTCGTTGTGGTTTGTTTGTTGATTTTGGGTTCGAGGCGCATCAGGGTACTTTTGGATTCCTCCGCTAATGTGATAAAAAGGTGAACTTCATCACAGTCAAGCATGCACAGACACTCAATCACTCTATACAATACTTAATAAATAATGCATAAAACATTTCAAATTAAGACACTACAAATATTGATATCGAAATGACCGATAACATTTCAATAATAATTCATACAATTAGTTTATAATGGATACACAAATACTAATATAACTTAAAAGTACGAGCACTCACCTTTCTTAATTAGCTTGAAAATCAATCTTTTTATTCCTACTTCACCTTCTTTAGGTTGACATCTATAAAAAAGAAAGTTTATAATAATTAATTATATGTTTAGTTCTTTTTTATGCTTATGTCTATATTTAATCCTAACATCCCCTTTCTATTATTTGTTTAATTAAATTTCACTCTACTTAATTAATGATTATAATAAGTTTTATTTATTTATATTTAACAAGTCTTTATTTCATACTTAATGAGTTTATTTACTCTCATAACTATTATTATTAACATATATAAATAAATCCTACCTCTCAACCTTTGATTCAACCCTCAACACCCCCCAATCAAACTCTTGGCATTATACCAAACCGCAAAACCACAAAGGAAGTTGCAGCAAGAAGAGTTCTGCTTGACCGCCAACTTCTCGGTTCACCCTTTTCGCACAAGAAATGAGATAAGAAAAGAAGTTTTCCTGTTCTTTGCACGTGAGCCCCTTTCCTGAAAGTCAAGCCGCTCGATTCGACTCTACACCCGCACGCGAGAGCTCCTTCCTCTCTTCCTTTTGCTCGCACCCGCACAATATGCACATGAGGCTTCTTCCTTCGACTTTGATGCCTTTTTCCCATGACAAAACCCCTCGTAACTACAAAAAAATCCTCCTGCAAGCAGCATCCCCACTCTCTGTAATTTGACTAGGTTTGGCTCGGCTCATTCCTCCTAGTACCTGCACTCGGCATTGTCGTCTTCACTCTGCTGAGCACACAAATGCTTTCCCTAGACGCACGTTAGCCATCTTCCTCCCCCACGTCAGAGCCCTCAGCATTGCAAATGGTGTTGAATTTTCAGTAAGAGTAACACGCTCGGTTTTATCTTCTGTCCTAGGGTACACATTATGAGATTCATAATTCGTTGACTAACTTGAGCATCGCTCTCCCCATGGGAGAGATCTTCTTCACTCACAGACAGGCTCCATCATAGCCTAACCAGATTGTAAATCACCATAAGCATATTAGTTTATTTTTTCTTTCATGCAATTGGAATTTATGTTGTTACCATTTCATGCTTTTCTGATATTTTTTTATGTAAAATTACTCTAAAGGAATTTATGTTACAATATTGTCTGCTACTGGTATAAAGAAGCCATCTTTATGTCATTTTGAACAATTTTAACAATGAAGGCAATCTTGGTTTACCCCTTCTAAATTTTATCCAAGGTATGATCTTCCGCCGCTACTGTGAAACAAAATGTCATCTGTGAAGAAATTAGCATCCGAAAGATTCAGCAACAGTGCTAGTATGATTTAACCCTGTTTAATTTTCAATTATCATCCCCGCCCCGATGATAACACAAACCTACTTAAAGGCTCCTTCCTATCTTTTGAATGAAAAGCAAAAAGAGAAAATGCCACGATCCAATATCATTTTTGCTCTATCCTAAATTCTTCATTGATATGTTGACCATGTCATCATGCCTGCTATATAGTCTACATATACAACTGTGAATCTGCTTAGCACGCATTTGGCATCATGCTATAAATACTATAAAAAGAAAATTAATAATAATTTCATTGTTAAAATATTTAAAAATGTAAGGCTTGTTCGCATCCTCATCAGCACTATACTCTAATCAATTCTTTAATGAAGGAGCAACCTATGAAAACAAATGCAAGACTTGGTAAGACATAACATACAGCAGTGTAAATTAGTAAAATCATACACAGTTCAAATGATATTTTAGTTGAGGTCCTAAAGCATATGAATCAAAAAAATCACCATAACACCTAGTCTTATTGCAACTACTTGGGATTGTCTTTATAAAACACCATCATAATCATATGAGATCCGCCCACAAAATTCCTGTTAAGCCTTCAAATAAAATTATCTATCTTGTACTTTTTCAGATAACTTCAAGCCACGTAACAGTAGATCTACCTATCTGATGCTTCTAAATCATTCCACATAAATAACTCAATAACCTCATTGATTCACCTCTTGCGCTCTATCGCACACGCCGAAATTATTTCAATTCTATTTTTTATCACTTTTAACTTCAATAGACTGAACTCCCTATCTAATTATAATATCTCTTATAACAATTAGTCTTCTTGTAACTACAATTGGCTTTATAATTCGCCATCAAAATCATATGGGATCCTCCCACAAAATTGTTTTTGAGCCTACTAATATAATTTTCTATCTTGCATTTGTCTTTTCAGATATTTCAAGTGAAGCAACATTAGATCTACCTCTTTGGTGCTTCTAAATCCTTCATAAATAACGCACGATAACATTATTGATTAAATTATTGCGCTCTATTGCACATGCCCAAATCATTTGAATTCAAATTTTTATCACTTTAACTTCAATAGACTGCACTCACTATCTAATCAAAATCTCTCATTATAATGATATCTCACTCTAAACATCCTAATTGTACCACCCATCACTTCTAACACATCAAATAAGCAATCAAATTCTTTTTATAGTCAACCCTTGGTTTCATAAAGCATAATTTGTCCATGTGAAGTTTTATATGATTTGCCTAGTCTAGAAGATATCCTCCTATTATATAATATTCCTAAGATGCTTCTCCATTTTAAACTTCGAACATATAATTATATAAACTGTGCTCTCATTTATATTATGTTCACTTGTACAAAATTGATCCAACATACTACGAACAATATGTGTATCACCAGATCTTGACAATAGTCAAATTACATTTACTAAAAATGCATATAATCTACTTGATATTTGCTCTATACATCAGAAATTTAGAAGCATTTTAGCTAATAAATTTTTTTATTGCCCCAAAATTTTGTCGCTTTAAAAGGTATCTCACTTACAAAATTGTTATTTATAAATAACATGCATTTAGATGCCTCGTTTTAATTATATTTGTAAGCATTTTTCACAATTTATACCCAAAGAAAATGATCGTCAGTAGAATCCTATAAATATTGGAAATTCTGTAGCCCTTTCAGAACTATACTAATGCTTGTTATTAATGACATCAAATCATTAGAACACACGATTTCGTTTGCACTAAATTTACATGGTGCTGGATCATAAGCCTTTTTAATATCATTAAAATTCATACAAAGATTTTTTTTTTGGTCTAAGCATCAAAACATGATCGTAATTTTTGATGTAGGGGGTAGACCTAGAATGACCTGAGCATGTCGCATAAAAAATTGATCTTTATTTATTAAAATTAAATGAAAACATGACACTAAATAGGACTCAATGGAGAA